AAGCCTGGAGAGAAACCCATGCAACTGAAGGATCTGGCCCTAATCGGGTTCTACCTGCTAGGGTATTGTTTCATATTTCCTAAACAAACTTAGAGTTCTGCTGAAACTGAAATTAACTGATATGTGCCTTAATAGGTTCTTTTATTTTTTCAGAGCTAATTCTTATAATTTATTGTGAATCTCTGGATTTCTGGAATCCTGCCTTGGACAGGCTCTTAGTAATTAAATTCCGAAGAACATTGTGTCCTAAAATCTCCGTGGTTCCTTGCAAAAGGAAATATTATTGCTATTATACCCTAGAAAAACAAAATTCTGCTATCTGAGCACCAACAGGCATTTTTTTCCTCATCTACATACTTAATCAGCTTCAAAATAATTATTTCCCATTCATGGTTAGTAGTAAAGTTGGGACATTTAACATTTTTTTCTCATTACTAAAATGATGCTTGTTTATTATAGGAAAATTAGAAAATATGGATGAATAAAAAGAAAACAATTAAAAACATTAATAATATCTAGACCTTTTTCTATAAAACAGCATAACTTGGAAGCTTGTAAAAATTTAAGAAAATGCTCATGTTAATTAGTCAAGTAATGGATTTTTTTAAAATTTAATAATCTCTCATTTATTGCTTTACATCTCTGGTGATAGAAACTGAGGTGGCTGGTATCAACAGATTGTCACACACTTACAATCCTCTTTAGTTTCTGTGTCTACCTATGGACATGTAGATATACTTGAGCTCTTTTTAAAAATTATGCCATTTTTTGTTAATCTGTAACATGTTTTGGGGGTTTAACAATTGTCATATTAATAGACATGGAGCCAGTGCCTTATTCTTAACAACGTATGATGTTCTACAGTATTCCACCTTGTTTCATTTAACCCACTCCCCTATTGAAAAATGGTTTCAAATATTTTTCCTTATACATAATGCCAAGTAAACCTTTATATATATATATATATATATATATCATTGTTTATGTATGATTTCTACTGCCATATTTTTTCAAGGTTTAATTACTTCTTAGGTAAAAAGTAAGCATATTTTATTAGTTCTTTAGATTAATAGACTCAGCTCGTTGGCCCATTTTGCTGTACTGTAGATTAAAACCTTTGTATATCCAAACATACAGGCACACAGGGAAGCAGAGAGCTGTTGCAGTTCTCATCAGTGGTCCTCAGCTCCACTCCCTACCTCATCCCATCCCATGCGCCATCACTTCTCCTCACCTAACACTTCACAGGACCATACTCTGCACTGGGGGCCCCTCTGCATTTTCTGCAGTGAACCTTGTTTTGAAGACTCTTTCAAAAAGCCCCTGAGAGCTTTTCTGATCTCTCCCACTTTACATGCAGAAGAGCCCCCTCTTGCTCTCTGATCCCACCTTCTTCATCTCCCTGTGACAGCCCCTTTCTTCTTCTGCCTCCTATGAAACTTGATGGTGCACACATCTGAATGCCCTGATAGATGAGGAGTCTTTCAGTGGTAGAATTTATCTCAGCTGAATGCAACTTGTCAGCATGGAAATCTCAAAGACTGTTGATTAGACTTGGAGAATTTACCTAAAAATTAAACAGTCAGAGCCTAGTTTTTGCCTTTGAAGTCTGATTATAAGCTATAACTTGACAGTTATTAGAGAAATATTTAGAAAAGATAAAAACATACATGTTGTATGTGTATTTTGACCTTAAGGACTTTTTCTTTTATTTCCAGGACAGGGGTTAGTAAACTTTTCCTGTAAAGAGCCACATAGTAAATATTTTAGGTTTGGTCAGCCATAAAATCGCTGTTACAACTTCTGAGCTCAGCCATTATTGTGAAAGTGACCCTAGACACAAAGTGAACTAATGAACCAGTAGCAGCATTCTAATACAAATCTATTTACCAAAGTGCAATGGGCATTGACTTTTGGCCTATCACTGTGGCCAACATGTTCCAGGAGTTTTCTAGATCCAGATAGACTAACATGAGTTAGGTTCAGATTCTAGTTCTTCTACTCAAACTTTGTGACTTTGGACAAGTTCCTTAATCTCTCTGTCTTTTTCAATGCAAAGTAAGATTGATCTTATTTTCATGGTAGGCATCTAGTTTATGGGCTTGGAACTTAATGAGCACTGAGTGGTAGCTACCAATACTGCCTTCACTGGAAGTAGCAAATCTATGATAGTTTGCCAATCAGTGGATGGCAGACACTACTGGGCAACAATGGCAAGTTTCATGGCAGTCCTTTACAATACTTTCAAGACTGAATCTGGTATAGACAGACAGACAGACAGACAGACAGACACACACACACACACACACACACACACACACACACACAGAGAGGAGTGTCTGATTCTTGCTGCAATAACATAAATCCTACTAATGAAAGATTTTGAAGATTATTTAGGGTGCCTGGAGCTATGATTATATGAAAGGTGGTACAGATCAGGCTTTAGGAAAAATTAGCAGTCAAGTAATTGTACCTAGAGATTTACATGAAGAAATACCTTTTTAGCTAAAACCAATATATATATATATATATATATATATATATATTCATCTTTGGCGCTTTTCTGGCCTTTGTCATTTCCAAGCATTTCTGTTGTAGATCTTGCAAGATGCAAACACTCCAGTGGCCTTTCCACTGCCTATGAGATCCAGTTCAAACACCAGCATTGCAGGCAAGGTCCTCTGCAGCACATTTCTCCCCCTGATTTTGTCAATGCACCTTTCCTTGCACAGTGCAGGGGCTTCTACCAGACAAATTGATTTGCTTATTTGGGTTCCTAAAACTCTTCTCCCTTCCTGTTTTCCTTCCAGCCCAGTTTCTCCCTTTCTCCCCAGTTCTTCCTAATTCCCCTTCCCCCATTCTCTGCAGAGAGCCTATAGCTATGTTCTCCCCTTGGCCTCTAAGAACATTCCTGACTGTCCTTTCTTTTTTTTTTTCCTTTTTGTTCTGCCTGTAACGATTCCTCCATATCTACTGTAAATAAGCAGCAAGTCCTGCAATATTGGAAGATCATGTGTGGAACAGAATCAAGTCTGGGTTTTTTAGTTCAAAAACTTGACTTTGTATCCTGGCTCCACCATCAATGCACTATGTGGTTGATGTGGAGAATGTTCTTTAATATTTCTGAGCCTTATTGTTTGTATTTATAAAACAGGAGTACTATCCCTACCTTTTAGAGTTTTGTGAGAATTAACTGAGGTTAAGCTAAATAGAGAGGCTGGGAGTCCCTGGAAAGTACCTGTCTCATGGGAGTTTTGCCCACAGGATTGGTTTGGTGTTATCTCCCTAGCAATGTAATAATTTGAAAGCAAGGCCATACCAAATTGTAACCTGTGATTAATTGCAGTGCCTAGCATTGTTAACAAAACTCAATAATCTTATTTGATTTATTTTAAAATTATTTAAAAATCCTTATCAATGTTATGTAAGGAAGCTCCAGTTTTTAATTTTATATGCTAGAATTAAGATCTTTATTAACTGATTGCAGAGGGATGCTTTAAAATGGATTGAAAATCAATCCAAAGTCTCATAAAATTGGTAAGACTGAGGGGAAAATACCAAAGATTTGCCAAAAAGAAGTAAGCAGAACTAAAATTGCTCTTCTTTTTTTTCATATTCTTTACAAAATGGCTGTGCTATGCTTTTCAGAAAGAATGTAAACAAAACCTGATGATATATATGGATTATGAGAGAATAAAAAGTATACACATTGAAAATAAAAATATTCCACACATTTCATGCATATCCATGATGCATAAATGTTTTTATACTATTTTTTAATATCTACCTCAGTAATTGCTCAGAAAACCTAATGAAGCAAGTACTGTCTCTCTTTTGCAGATTAGAATCTAAGACTCTGAGTATTTAAATACCCACTTGGGATCATAAATGTAGGAGCCAGGTCCTGGGTATGAACCTAGGTCTTCCCATTCCTGGCAGGCTGTCCTTCCTTTGTATTAGCCACCTAAGAAATAGCCACCTAAGGAACTTGGCTCCTCAGCAGCCTTGCAGAATCTATATGGCCCAAAGATGCAACTTCAAACAAAATCCTTTTTCAGTTTTTGTCAACTTGATAAAAGTCTTAAGAATTAAGATATAACTGATAAATATAATTATGCCATGAGATGCATGATTATATGACATATAGATAAAATTACCTTCTTTGCGTATAAGTTATTTAAGTTTCTACATCGGCTTTTGGCAACTGAATCAATTTCTTCATCTGAAACAGAAACTGAAATGTTCTTTCATGAGCATTTCAAAGGCTTGTTAGGATAAAATTAGAGAGTAAGTATAATAAGAAAATATATGTGCAAAGGAAAGTATTGTGATCTTATTAAAGTTATAAATATATACAGAAAAATTAATTGCATCAAGTTCTGTTTACCTAAAATTAATTAGTAGGTAATTAGCAACCCTGAAAAAGTTTCATTTTAAAAACTTCCATATTCATTATGAAGTATGAGCTTCAAGTTCTAATAAAGTTCCATGATGAAAGAGTTACAAAATCAGCCCTTACTGCATAGTGCAACATTTTAAAAGTTAATTAATTCTCTGACATTCAGCAATGTAACTAAATTACTTTATATAGTTGTTTGAGCACAATGTCTGTAATCTTCTGATTAAAATAGTGTCAAAATCATCAGTAGCAATTATTATTTACCCATCTACAGCCCTGTCACCCACTATCTCATCTTCCTCAGAATCTGAAGAGATTATTTTCCAGAGACTTTTAGAAACTTTTTGTTATAATAGAATGTGGGGGCAAATGAGACTTTTAAGTTTCAGGTTTCATAGGCAGACTTCCTGAACAAAAGTATATATTTTTCAAAATCTTAAACTGAAAAAAAAAAATCTAGCAGGGCTCCATGCAGCATAATACCTGCTAAGTCACTAACGTTTACCCAGTGGTTTTTATTTAAATTTGTGCTGCTGCTATCATGATTTATTCCTACTTTACAGGATAATGAATCTAGATTTTATTTCTGTTCTTTGCCCAGACTTGTACAGCAGGCAAAGTGTTTGAAAATCAAAGGAAAAGAAGATATTGACTTGGATAATCTCTTCAGAGGTAAAAACAAAAACATGAGCAAAAACACAGAATATACTTTTTGTTGTTTGGAATGTCTTATCTGTTTGATTGTTTGGCTTTATCATTCCAATAGAGAGTGGTGGAAAAACTTGACCAGAAGTCAGGAGACTTGTCCTAGTCCCTACCCTGCACGTACAAATTTTCATCACTTCACACCCCTAAACCTCAATTTTCTCATTTTTAAAAGTAAAAAGACTTGTCAGGTGCACTGGCACACACCTGTAATCCCAGTGAGAAAGGAGGATTGAGAGTACAAAGCCAGCCTCAACAAAAGTGAGGCACTAAGCAATTCAGTGAGATCCTGTCTCTAAACAAAATACAAAAGAGGACTGGGGATGTGTCTCAGTGGTCGAGTGCACCTGAGTTCAATTCCCAGTACCCTCCAAAAATTAAAAAGGCTGAACTGTCTATCTTTATGATCCCCACTCAGGTTGGGACAGATCTAAATCTGCTGAAGTCATGGAGGTAAGTCAGGAGTGTCCCATTGCATTTGATAAGTTGAATGACTAAAGGTGTCTCATTAGGCAAGAAAGTTATTTGAAAAAGTTTAGTCATCAGAGCTGAGAAATTTGTTAGTGTGTAGGAAAAAGAATTTCATGTTTTAATTCCATTTGTTTTTTTTTTTTCAGTGAAGGCTCAGTGTAGCCCAAATTCTGAGGCTAGGTCCCATGGTAACAAGCTAAAGAATGAGTTTTCCCTTGGTTGTCTTATTTTAGTGTTAATGTTTTGATCTGGTCAGATGAAAATATTTATCATTTGTAGTTAGCATCCTGTGTCTCTGGCCACAGTAGTTCTATAAATTTTTCTCTCCCAGAACACAGTAATATTTGTTTATCTTCTAGAAGAAAGGAAAATTTGTGAGTTTTCTGCTGATTTTAGCAGAACACACCAAATTGGCACAATTGGGTAGCCCTGCAGTTCATCTCCAGGACAATTACTTGTTCAACTTTTCTGAAGAAGAAAAGAGCATGGATGGCTGTCATTGAACCAAAGGATCATGAGGTCTACAAGCAGTGCTAACCTGCTCATTTCAGTTGGAGAAAAGATGAATTTGGGGATTGGAAGACTTCCTGATTTTATCTCAGCAACAAAGAGGGAGGGTCTTTTCCTCAGAACAATGGAGGTCAAAAATTATATGGCTTTCATTGTGCAGCTTTATATTTCTCCTCATCAGAAGAGTTTCTAAATCATATAACCAGAGCTGAAGCTTGCTTTAAATAAATAACTGGTATTTTAGAAACTCCTCCATACAAATGTTCTCATCCATTTTACCAAGCCTTCATTCTGTAAGCAACATGTTTTGGAATCACATAAGGAGCCTTTAAAAAAAAAAAACTGTCTGTGTTTTAATTCATATTTTGACACTTTTGAAAATTTCTCCACAGAGTAATTATGTATATGTTCTTGTTAAAACAGATACACAGTTTTGTAGTTCACATAGTAAAAGTAGTAATGAGGATCATCCTGACTAAAATAGAAAATATCACTAGCAAAATGCATTTGCATAATGTGAACGATGAAATCTCTTACAGCTTGTTCAGTATGCACTTGTTCTTTTCTGCATCACTTGTAAAAAGTTTATGCCCATATGCTTTTATTTATTCATGCATTCACTGTGTGCTTTAATTTAAACATTACAGTTTCTTCATAGTGGAGGTCATTGGTAACAGATATGGCAGTGATATCAGAAGACATGCAGAGAAACACCTGCCTCGGCTGCCTGTGGACCCCTAATTCTCTGCATGGGGAAATACCATGGGGGTCTCTTTGATTGCATAGAAATATCCAGGTGGTACTCACAGATCCAGCTTTCTCAGTCTAGCCTGTCACCCAGAGCTGTTCTTCCTATATCAGACTAATCCCCATTATTATAGTCAAGATCATTTGCTCTGGTTCTAACCTGGATAAGACAAAATAACAAGAATCAATGTTACTAATGTTATTAAATGATCATTTAACATTATCCTTTTATTTTTAAGCCTGTTAATCTAAAGTCCTTATTGCCTCCCACCCACATAAATTTGAATGATCAGCCTCTTATTAGGAGTCTTTTTTTAATGAAAAATGAACTAAAATTTGTTCTCTATTTCTCCCATAATAGGAAATTTTATACATTGCATTTGTAGAGATTGGGTACACATGTACACATATATATATGGATTCTGATTTTCATCTTAGACGTGCTTTCAGATTTTACTTGTAACCATCTTTAATTCTGAAATCATTCTATATACAATAGACACATTTGGCATGTATAATGAAAAAATTTAAAGATACCTTTTTTAAATTTTCAAACATAATTCTGAGAGATGGAACATTCTATCTTTTTTCCTTAATAATGTGTCAAAATATAAAGTTACTTTCTAATGATACAAGTTTGTTGAGGAAAGCATGGTTTTCTTAAAAGGATGTTTGGTGGTGAAATTGACAGGTTTTCAGTTGGAGTTTAAATAAATAACTGGTATTTTAGATATTCAGTTGGAGTTTGTCTCACTAATCTTCAGTTTACAGGAAAGCTTCATGAATGTGCCACCCAAGACAGGACTAGTGTACATTTCCTCTGTACATTTTATTAATTAATGCATGAGCAACACCACTGGTCCCTTCTGCAGGATGGAGTTGAGCATCTGGGCAGTGGCCTCTCCAGTTTTTACCCTTGCTAACTGAGTGTTCTACAGAGAATGGGACAAAACTGCTCCTGTAGTACAGCTTGAGTGAGGCTAATTGGAATGCATTTGCACTGATGCTAAGGGACCTGCTCATCTGCACACTGTGTCTTTTTACCCTGCAGAATGCTTGAGAGCTAGAGCAGCTAAGACCAGGCTCCTTGAACAGAGGTCACACTATCTGGGCCCCCTAATTTCACCACACCAGGGGACCCCTTTGTAATTGTGTAAATTTCAACTAGACAGTTGTTTCTTTTTTAACATATTTATTTTTTGGACTCTAATATGTAACTAATACTCATTTTTAATTCAAAAATTGCTTAAGTCTAAAAATGCAAAAAGGTAAATATTATTAATGAATCCTTCATAGATTCATATTTTTAAATTTATTTTTTATTCTAATTTGTTATATGTGACTGTAATTCACATTTTTTTTTCAACTGGTAAAGAATTATATTTGGTGATCTTCATTTAGATTTGTTTCCCCACTTATTGATATGTTACTTTCCTAAGTCAGCTCAGATATATCTGCCAGATTCTTTCTTTTTTAAGTAAAATGTTTTAGTTGAGTACACAAGAGATCACATCCCCTTAATCACCAGTTGGGTCGGGAAGCAAAAGCTGACCCTGTGCTGACAACATGCAGTCCCCTGACCTCCTCCTGACAGGGTAACCACTGATCTGACTTCACTCACTACCTCTGACTTTTGCCCCATTTTGAACATTTTATACATGGAATAATAGCCTGTGTACTCTGATATGTCTGACTTCTTTTGCTGATGTATTTGTCAGATCCTTTCAAATCATGCTTTGTTTAGTCTCATTGCTGCATACTATTAAGTTTTGTGAAAACATAATTTATCCATTTCAATGTTAACTATCTTCAGTTTTGCATTCTTGCCAATGGTGCCACCAGGAATATTCTGTGTGATTTTGTGGGTATGTGTATGCATTTTTGTGGAGTAAACATCAGTGAGGGGGCTATCTGGGTAATTAGGTTTGCTTAAGTTCAACTTCACAAGCTAGTATCAAATGTTTTTACAAAATGGTTTATTATTACTCCCACCAGCACAGGACAGAAATTGTGCTCTGCATCCTTGCCAGAACAGATTATTTGTCAATCTCTAATTTTAGCCATTTTTTTTTTACATTTCCCTAAGATCCAGTGAGCCTTGTACACATTTTCTGAGTTTGTTGGCCATTGAATGTCCTCTTTGATGAAGTATCCCCCCATTTGTCTTTTTTTGAGAGAGAGAATTTTTTTAATATTTATTTTTTAGTTTTCGGCGGACACAACATCTTTGTTTGTACGTGGTGCTGAGGATCGAACCCAGGCCGCACGCATGCCAGGAGAGCGCGCTACCGCTTGAGCCACATCCCCAGCCCCATCCCCATTTGTCTTTTAGATTGTCTTCTTATTATTGATATGCAGGGGTTCTTTTTGTGGGGTGATGGATCCACTGTTGATAGATATTGCAGATACCTTCTCCAGCCTCTTATTTGCCTTTTCACTCTCTTAATGATGCCTTATGGCAAATACAAATTCCAACTTTCAATGTAGTTCATCAGTCCTTCCTGTTTTGGTTAGCACTTTTAGCATCTCATTTGATTGATTGATTGATTGATTGATTGATTGATTGATTTAGCCTATTCAGTGTTCATGAAGGTGCTTTTCTATTTTTCATTGTAAATTATTTTTTATCTTTCAATCTAGATCCATAATGGACCTGGAACTGATTTTATATATGGTATAATGTAGGGTTCAAAATTTATTTTCTCTGTGAATTTTCTCTGTGAATGTCAGATGACTCAGCACCAGGTATTAAGAATCTCTTTCTTCCACTAATGTTTGGCAATGTCACTTTGTCATAAATCAGGTTAACTATATATGTGTGGATCTGTTTCTGAATTCTGTTTGGTTCCATTGTTTATATGATTATTCTTTTGTCAATATCAAGCTGTCTTAATTAATTATCACAGCTTTGTGTAATAAATCCTGATCTAAAAATGTCACTCCTCAACTTTGTTCTTCTATAGTATTGTCCTATTTTTGTCCCTTTACATTTCTAATTAGCTTACCTATTTACCACACACTTACCCCATACGACCTACTCTGATTCTAATTAGAATTATAGCGAATTGGTACACCAGTTGCAGGTACGTTGGCACCTTCTAAGTCATGAATGTGGTATATCCTTCAGTTTCATAATTTTCAATAATATTAGGCAGTTTCCCTGAGTTAGCATCTCCACGATTGAATAGATATAATGATAGCAAGGCCATCTTTGTCTTATTCCCGATCTCAGAAGGAAA